TAACTTATCAAGGTAGTAAAAGAAAATGAATGCTATTTTTAAATTAAATAATGCTATAAAAGATTTCCTGGGTAGGCTGAATGCTCAATCCCAAAGATAATGCTGCAAAACACTGAAAACTCCTATAATTTTCCTACGTGTGCAATAAGGACTTTGAGCTTAATCCAAAACCCTCTCAAGAGAATGGAAAATACGGTGTTGATTCTGAATTGCTCTCTTAAGATGCCTGCTTACTCCCAAGCCAGACACAGAGAGGCTGAATCCTAATGTGGATGGAAGGAGTGACAGGGAAGCACTTGTTTCCGAATCAAACTCAGTTGTTCCAGACATGGACATGGAAAAGTTGGATGATTTTGTGTTTAGAAAAAAGGTTTGGCCACTGTAAGTTGACAGCATCATGCAGGACGTTGTCCAAGGAGATTTCATTCCCCAAGTACCATCAGGTCAGGTCAGAGATGCCCAGTTCACACATCCTTGGCTGCCACTCGGGAACCTGGCCAAGTTGGTGGTGCCCCAGCTGTCATCGTGAAACACCCTGTGCTGGTACTTTGCATCTCCTGTGGCCTTTGGTGCAACCAAACACGTTGAACCTATCTGCAGACAACACTTGACCAGGCAAAATTAGAGCGTTCCTTATTGGTGAATATTTGGGAATTTCAAATTTGGCGAATTTCAACAGGGCCTTTTTGTCAGCAGAAGAACAGTTGGGCTTCGTCTTGTGGCTGTGATGTTCTCAACTGGCCACCTCTGGCCATCGTCTAGCTCTTTTGGATCACCCAAATGGTACAAAGGAGCCAGAACACAGAGTGTAGGTCAAATTTTACTGGTTTGCACATTAGGAAGAGAGGCAACGGCATTTCAGCTGAATGCTGCATATAGCCTGTGTTCATTATAAAAATCCATGTCTTTTAATGGAAGTGTTTGCATGCGCTGTGTATTTCTCTGTTAACTATGTGTATACATATAATGGATACGGGTATAAATATAAATGCATATGTATTACACATAACATACATGTATACAAACACATGGGAGTGCATGTGTGTATGTGTATGTTCATAGAATGTGTATAAAATATAATGTAAACTCCCAGCTACAGAGTCTCTCTAGTTCACATGCAGTCATTTGGTTTACTTACAGGTCTTCCCAGTGTGGCCTTGTCTGCTCCTCTGGTGTTATTGAGCCAACCAAGTAATAATCACGTAGACACAGCAAACTGCTAACTGCACTTGTGTTACTTGGAGGGGACTGAGTCCTGCATCTTGAGAGATCCCCAGATTGTGTGTGTTAAGTGGAAAATAGAGGAATTTGAGATTTAAGACACGTCAAAGGGCAAAGACAGGAAAGGAAGATAATGGAAGTTGCATGTCCTGTCGGTGTGGGACAAGCTTAGCCAATGTTTCTCCTCAGTCCTCAAAGAGCATCGAATTATGGCTTTATTCCTTTTTTGGTAAACAGACTGACTGCTGCTGGATGCAATATCAACCCAGTGGAAAAAGGGAAGCCTGTGTCAGCACAGAAGTTACATCACAGTTACTGCTCTTCTGAATACCAATGCAGTAATTTTACTTTATCCAAAATAGAGTTTGGAGACTGCCATCAAATAAAGTTAGCTTGCTTGCTCCTTTAGCTGTTGGATGGGAATGAATTCCTACGATGTATAAACGCAGAAGGTGGTGTAGTTGGGTTGTCTGTATCATAGTGACGTGAAGGATTTTTTTTTCCCCTTAGTTTTTACACCGAGCTAGTCAGTCAGCATTCAGAAATAATGTGATGTGCAAAGACGTACTGGCAGAAAAAGAGTAATCTTGCATGTATGACCTTGAAGTACTGTTGATGAGGACTTGAGCCCTCCTTATGAAACAGATAATTGGTAGCGTTCATCACTGATGTGGGATTTCAACTCCTTAAATAGATACTGTGGGATGAAGAATTCTTTCTGATTTATATATCATAATTATTGGCCACGCAGGGATGCACGTGCCAGGCATACTGGGGTTAGAGAGACTCCTGGACATCTGATGCCGTTTTGGGGTATAGCGTAGGTGCAGTGGTGTAAGACAGAGAGAGGGAGAAACTGTGCACATGTTCAGTGTTTGACATTTGGAATAACATTATCTTACTAAATACAGCATCTTCTAAGCTGCGAACTAACAGGAATGGTACTTAAGGGGCTGTGTAATGAACATGTGAGCAGCAGCAAAAAATACCCAGGAGACACTAGGATTCATAGCCCTGTTCTCCAGGGGAGGAGGAGCGACTGCGTGAGGAACAAACTCCCCAGCAGAGAGCTGTGCTGAATAAATGTTACACACATGAGAGACACTAAAAATATCAAATGAAAAGATTTAATGAATGCACTGAGTGCAAGGTGTTCCCCATAGATTTGGAAGTCTCGTCTCTGCAGGATTTTCAGACCACCTACTGTGTATTCATCTTGTAGGGAGTTTCTAATGACAAGGCTAAGCCCTCAGAGCCCTAATTATTATGCCTTTCTGTCAAAAAAACAAAATGTCGTAAGTCTTACACCTGTAAGGACTAGGAACATAGATCCATTCTTGAACAAACTGTTGCTCATTTCTTTCCTCCTTGGGGACCTGTCTTAACACATGTGGTGATCAAAGTCTGTCTAACTTTTAATAATGTTTGATCAAACAGGATTGATCCAAAGAATTAATGCAAATGGATTTTCCTTTATTTATAACCTGCAATTTAATTGCAATGAGATAGACCTTGGGCATACAGCAGAGTAATTCTTTTTATTCCTCTGGAGTCCCGCTATTGCCCCCATAGTCTTCTGATCCAAATTCGTGGAGGGGCCTCTGTGCCTGTTACAGATTGCATACTCCAGAAGTGATTAAAGTACATCCTCATCAAATAAGTCTGTTCACTTTTTCCCCCCTCTTTCTCTCTCACTTTCTCCTTCTCATCTTTACCTCCCTTTTGCCCCGAAAAGGTTTGTCCCCATCTCTTGTCCACAAACTATTAAAAAAATCTGAACTCCGCTTTTACGAGACTGCTCACCATTGCGCAGGGCCTGTAAAACACCCAGTAATAGGGGGCCTGACATGTTCTGTTGGGATCTCTGCCTAAAATGAAACCCAAGTGATGATATGTGTTTGACACATTTCTGCCCTAAATGGTGCTCCTACTTCCCCCCGCCTGCCTGGCTGCAGGCATTGCCTTTTCCAGTCTCGGGTCAGCAGCATTCCCCCAGGTTTGTTCAAAGGGGTGCCATGCATCAAATACTCATTGGCAGGAGTTTTGGGGAGTGATTCAAACGGGAAATTGCTGTAGAGCCCCAGTGAGCAAAACTCCACTGCAGGAAATGTTAAAATTATTACAACATTCATTGTTATTAAAGAGCTGGAAAACAAAACCAAGTCATTCCACAACCAGCCAAACCCAAAAAGCCTGGGTTCCTACTAATGTGTGTTTTAAGGTTTAGACCTCATGTAATAAGGCACAGAGCTCACATTGCATTTGTTCCCTCAGTGGGTCAGTAAGGGAGTGATGGTAGAGTAACAATAATAGAAAATAGTAGTGCTAAACAAGGTCTGCCTTCTCTACCAGGTGGTTCATTTTGAGGAGAATTACTGGAGGAAGAAGGCGAGAGGCAGGTGCACACACTCACATGAAGAGTGTGTTGTCCGACTCTCCTGTCTTTAAAGAAAACATATTCAGGACTAACCTTCTCAACTTCTTTGGCCATTCTTCTGAAAAGTGATGTCCAAAATTAATGTCGCCGAAAGAAAAAGCGAGGCAAAAATGTGTTATTTCCCTTAACCTTTTTGTTCTGTTCATTTGGCAGCCCAGGCACTGGAGATGTTATAGCAAACATATAATAGTAATTAGGGATAAAGGGATGCGCCTAGAAAACAAGCAGTTCTCCAAGCAGAGAACGCAGTGGAGCCTGGCTTCCTGCAGAGCTCTCCCCCTCGCACTGCAGCAATTTGTGCTTACGTGGTTCAGTAGATAATTTCAGTGTTTTTATGTGATCATTTAGGGGACTGATTTTGCCAAATACGCATACAGATTATATTACCTACACTCACAAATACATCAGCACTGTTTTATGGCCTCAAATCTTGGAGTCGTGCGATTATTGTGCGAATCTAATTTTTCTTAAAAATGGATGAAACGCTAGCACGGTTGCATGGGAAAGTTGGGAAACGAATCCCTAGGAGGCAAGACGCAGGAGGCAAGTATGGAGAACCCAGCCTATATTGTGCTACAGAGACAGAACGAAGCAAAGCACAACCAGCCCTCCTGGTATTTTTGCCTAAGGCAGAGGTGGGGATTTTTGGGGAGGTCTGACTCAAGATTTTTACAGCACTTGAACCACTGCACTCAGCTCATCTTTTGTGTACTTGCTTTTTTATACGTCAATGAAGACACCAGAAACTCTCTCCTTACGATAAAATAGGAGGAGAAGTGTTAGGAGAAGGACTTGAGGGTTAGGGATGCTGCTGGAAATGACTTTGGATTTGATTCAGTTTCACATTGGCACAGTCCTTGATGAAAACAAAATGTAACCGCCGGAGTGCGACTCTGGCACAGCAGTTAGTTTGGTTTTGCCCATTTTGTCGCACACTTAACTGTTTTATCTCTTTCTTTTGTTGTTGCAGATAAAGAGTTAGGAGTCAGTACGCTAGCTGAAAATGACGACCCTGGTGCTAGGGGCCCAGCTGTCCCGAAAATATCAGGATTAGAAAGGAGTCAAGAGAAGAGCCAGGACAGCAGTAAAGACCCAGTACTTGAGCCTGTGGTGCCTAAAGACCCTTGTCCTCAGGTGACACAGCCTTTGGCCCAGCCCCAGTTGGAGCCGCAGCCT